AGCATTTAGGACAGAAAAAATATATTCATAGTCACTAAATTCGATCCATTGTATGTTGGGATGCTGGTGTACTGTAGTCATATAGGAAAGCTGACAGCACCATAAAACACCAATGCCCTAATTCACAGCAAAGCGCTACAGGTATAAACTACCTGAAGAGATCTGCACAGAAAGGATTCTCTACACACAGATCAAGGAGGCATAGTTCGGCTCCATGTTTGTGAAACCATGTTTAACTCCTACAGCCGCAATAGTGCAAAACAAAACGTCCTTGCTCCTACTGTGTTCAATGCCCACATTGCTCCAGGCCCCGCCCCCAGTCCACCCCTTCTCCCAAGCCTCCACCCTGCCCTGCCTCTTCCTGCCCCTGCTCCGCCCCAGGCCCCATCTCCACTCCACCCTTTCCCCCAAAACAGCTGATCCATGGTGGGTGGGAGGCACTGGGAGGGAGGGGAAGAAGTTGATCAGCAGGACCGTCAGTGGGCAGGAGGCGCTGGGTAGGGGAGGGTGGACCTGGCTGCAGGTAGGCGCATATAAACAAAACTTCCCAAAGACATCAAATTTTGTCTCACTTCTTTGTTTGCCTTCTTGTCACAATAAATATCTTCAGAACTTATCTGGATTTTGTTCATATTTAAATATTTTATTAGCATCTTCCTTTTTATGAGTTTTACATAGTTGTACGTTTAAATATCTTAGTGGTTTTTATAGCACATTAATGAGCCAGTTAGGATTTTGGTAACAAGAAATGCATTTGCAATTTGAATTTACAGATGTTGCAACTAAATGTATTCAGTAGAATGACTTGCAGTATGATATGTGGCATCTACTGTATATATATATAGCCTCTATAATTTCATCTGAAAGATTGTTTATCTTTCAGCAAGCAATAGCCCCTAAATTCATCAATGTGGATTACTCGTTGCATAAGGAGAGATCCAAAGATGGAGGAGAGGGAACACACAAGGACAAGCAGATTAAAAAAATGTAATGTAGGACTTCAAGAATTGACATAGGAACGTAAGATTTAGAAAAATGGGTGGCGGGGGGGAGGAATTAGGCACAGACATCTGATTAGTCTCCAGTCTGGTCCAAACTCTGTGGCAGATAATCCAGATAATCTCACTGTCCTTGGCTCTGCAAGAGAATTTTCATAAAACCGAATTACTAATAAACAGTTTTTCCACAGCGTTTGGCACAAACAAGGTTCGTAACAACATCAGTTTTTCCACTTTTTTTTAAACACATGTTTACTGTGGACAAAGCAAGAAAAAATACTTCACTCTGCTCTGGTTCCAGTGTGTAGAGTCCCTTTTGCAGGCAGTCATATCGATTTTGTCAGAAAGTTTTTATACATAATGGGCAGTGATTCCAACAGCCCACTCTTTTCAGGCCATCATTGGAGGTACCAGAGACATCAAAATGAGAAGATAGTTCTAGAGATTTTTTTACTTCTTTGTCATGAGATCGTACTGTTCTTGGCTTCTTCAGTTACAAATGCTTTTCCTGTGTTGTTGCCTTAAATACCACTTTAAGTGTCAAGTTTAGGCTTTTCACTGTTAACTTTATATGAACTAAATCCAGCCATGTTAGATCAAATGTGTGGACGCTTGTTGGTGAATACTCTATATGTTGTACAGATATCTGGCTAGGTAAATCCTTGTAAGCAGCCCCTAATAAATGATAGCAATTTGAAAATCACTTTCATTATTTCATTTTGTATTTTGTTTATAAAGCTATAGAATTAGGAATGTGTCAAAGTATAATATTTTATCACTTGTTATAGGTAAAAGAAAGAATAGTATTTTCTTCACATTAAAAGTTGACTGTAAATGTAATGTTATTAATTAATTAATTAATGTTGTTATCCCATATTTGATGCCACTAAATTTTCACGCTGATTTGGTTTGGAGAATATTTCAAATTAGGATTTTCATCTTTTATTTCATGTTTAGCTGGCATCTGAAGCAGGGGTAGAAATCACCTAGACAGTCATATGCTGCTTCTGGCAAATGGATTTGAAAACCACTTTTTAAATTTGCTTTGCTGAAAATGGTTACATAGTATTGTATATGAAGTTATCTAAAATAAAATTGTCTGTAATGATGTTTTTGAACAGTTTTTCAGTTAACAGTTAACAATATTTTTCTGGGATGTTGGTAGTATGAACATAGGTAAATACCAAGGCAAACTTCTCTTTTGGAGACTGTAGTTTATTACTCTCTTGAAATGCAGTTCATCATTATAAAAGGACACTCTTTTTCTTAGTTCTCTATTGACTAGATCCTCTGCAGGTCAGATTTCCAATATATAATATTGTTGGAGCTACTTTTCTTTTCGCCTGTGTGATTTTGCCTGATGATAAATGTTAAATCTCAGTGTAAGATACCTCTATAGTAAAATATTTAGGGAAAAAAACAAAGTTTTGGGGATTCTGTTCCTTACAGTTTGACCTTAAAAATCCAGAGAAAAATATGACAAATCATACTTGGCTGAAAAAAATAATTCTGTTGTTTCTTACAGTGGACAGTTATTTAAAAAAAACATATAAACTAATAAAAAAGCAAAAGACAAAGCATAAAATTATCACCTAAGAGACAGTTTTCTTTGAGTCAAAGCAATAGTTTTAAACCACACTGTATATTAAAACACACACACACACACACACACACACACCCATCACAATTGCTTTGGTACCTAATTAAATCCATCAAGTAGTTTAGACAATTTACTTTGCTTGTTTTAGAGATTTTTTTTTAAAGGACACTGCTCTGGTTTTACAGTAGGAAAAGCTTTCACTTTGAAAAGCAAATAGTTTTATTCGCCCATTTTGTTCTGTTGGGAATTTTTTTATGTTAAAACAGTAAGGAAAAATACTATGATAAAACATTTTCAAAGACATTACCTCATATACAGATCAGATCCTTGAGTTGGGGTGGGGTGGGGGGAGTGTTTGAACTAGTAACTAAAATAAATCACAATAAACTTTGGTAGAGAAGCAGTACAATGGGGGGAAACAGAGCTTGAAGTGGTCTGTTGTTTTTAAATGCCTTTCGGTGTGCTGACGACTATATTTGAGAGGACCAAAAAGTTTACAGTATCATAGGATGTGAAACTTTAGAGACATTTGTATCCAAGGGCCTGATCTTGCAAATATTTATACTACTTAGTATAGTTCTAAAAACTGACAAAATGGGATTACTTACAGTAAAAAGCAAAGTCTGCTAGTGTTTGCAGTGTTAAGTTCTTAGTTCACTTTCTCTGGCTTTATACATTTTTATAGAGAAAAGGAGCATTTACTCAATCTGTCCTTTCGTTCACTTTTGACAGCACTTGATATATAGTCAATTTAAGAGTCTCCCCGTCAATCAATAATGTTCCTTTTTTATTTGTGTGAGCTTTTCACTAGTGACTGGGAGGGGAAGTGTTTTTGATGCTGTGGTTGTTTTTTGTTAAGCTCATCACTATCTGATTACTTTGCAGAGATGTTTGAATGATCACACATTTTGTATTTTTTATCACATTCATTACTATAATACAGGTGACTGCCATAGACTATTTGTAACACTCTACATCCATTTAATTTCATAGCATAAAAACCAAAGTTTTGTGATATGAAAGTTTAGTTTTTCTTCATTGTTTAGATTTTTTTTAAATGCCTGTCATTTGTACTTTTCACAACAAAATCTCTTTAATACCACTTTGGGTCCAAAGGTTGATTGTACTAGCTGTAGATTAAATTGCCTTTTGAAAAAATATGGCATTTTAAATTTTTAAATAAAAATTGTACACGTGAAGGTGGGGGGTTTATGTTTGTAAAGAGAGCAATTGTTGGTGGGGAGTACTTTTAATACTCTAGTATTGTTTTTAAGAAAGAAGGAATTTTAAAAACTCCTGTAAAGAGTTTAGAAAAGGGGAGTTTTTGGAGAGGTTGTATAGTGTTCAAATTGTTCTCTAATTTCTCAGTATGTTAAGCATATACTGTGTATCTGTGAGAGCTAGCACTGAATACAATGCATGTGACATGAAATCTGAAACCATTTAAACCAGATATTTCTAATTAAACATTGTAAATAGTATTAATTGAATCATTTTAATTTTTTAATATTAAAAAAGGGTTAAATAATGTCCAAAAGTACAGTACTGATTTTAAGATAAAACCAGCAAAGAATAAAGCCAATAAACAAGCAAACAATGAACAAAAAATTAATATTAGTGAACATAAAAAGAAAACCAGCTGAAATGGATGTTAATGACAATGTATAGTCAATACAAATGGATGAAAGTGAAAAACTTAAAAAAGGCCAATTCAAAAGCACCAATTAAAAAAAATGAAATGCAGAAAGGAATCAAAAGTTTTGTATATAGGCAAAGGATTTTCTTTTTAATGCAACCAGGTAACACTTATTTACAGTTAGACTGAATTACTTGGATCCACATATCCTCCCGTGTTCTGGTGGAGGGAAGGTGAAAGGAGGTAATTTACTTCAGTCCTTGAAAGGTTGCAGGTTTCTTCCCTCTATTCACCCTGCCAGCTCTGCAAGAGAGCACACAGGGAAGGCGGAGCATTGGTGCTTTCCTTTCCCCACCCATTTGTTCCCTGGAAGGAGCACCTGGTGTTCAGATGCTGTGTTCCCTCCAAACCTGGTTCCGGATACAAGAGTCTGAAAGCACTGATGCTGCTTAAGGCTGAGAGAGGGGGTCTTACATGTTTGCATTAAGGCAAGTTACAATCTAGACCTTAGTTAGCAAACTGCATTTTTGATGTATTCTGAGTAATTATTCATGTGCTTTACACAGAAGTAAAATCCTTTACATTTCCTAAATTTAATTAAGTCTAGGAATTTTCATAGATGAACGAAAGAATTTTGGAACTCAGAGATCTGTAAAATTCTCCTCTCTTTTAGTATGCAGTATATCTGACTAAAGTGTGTCACATCCTTATCTAATACCTAATTATACACAGTTTTTACATGGTGTTTTCTGTTGTTTTTCCACAGTCTCAGTTTGAACTCCAGATCTTTCATATTCGTGGAGAGCATGCTGTATCGAACACAAAGCTTGAGGAAACCATTGCAAATCTCAAGAATGAACTGGAAAACAACTTAAATAGAAGAAATGAGGAAGCAAAGGACGTCTGTGTATCCACTGAAGATGATAACCCACCAAAGACGTACAGAAATGTATATATACAAACTGACAGAGAAACCTTCATAAAGCCTAGTAAAGAGGAAAATATACCAGTGAAGAATAACCAAATGGTACCTAAAAAGCTTAATATTTCTTCTTTAAATCATAGTATTTCTGTCCCAAATGGCAATAAGGAACCATGTCACTGTACACAGATTTCAGAAAGTCTCGCATCTTGTGAACAGAAACCAATGTTAGTATCTCTACCACCACCCCCACCACCTCCTCTTCCTGAACTTTCACTACCAGCTTTAGTTCCTCCACCACCTCCCTTGTTACCAGATTTGGCATCCACTCCATTGACATCCCAGTTTGGATCTGGGCCACTGCCACTTCCTTCAGGTTGTGGGAATCTTCCACCGCCGCCACTGCCGCCGCCACCACCACCACCACTCCCAGGTTTGGGGCCTCCTGGTCCACCTCCCCTGCCTGGCTCTGGGCCACCTCTACCGGGAAATGGGCCTCCTCCTCCACCGCCACCTCCTGGGTTCTTTTTCAATAGCACTCTGTCTTCAAACCAAGGTCCTCGAAAGCCTGCCATTGAACCTAACTGTCCCATGAAGCCTTTGTACTGGACTAGGATACAAATCAAAGACAGCAGGTAAAAAGTTATTTTATTTGGATTTATAGATATAATTTATGTATCGTGAGGATGAGCATGTACAGCGTTGTTGTTGTTGTTTTTAAAGACAACAAAGAAGAGTTAAAGATAGAGCCCCCCCCCCAGAAAAAACAGGAATATGAAAGGAAAAAAGTTTTTTAAAAAAATCAGAAGATAGGCCAAGCTTTAAAAAGCACAATAGATAATAAGCAATGGCTTTTAAAATGGAAAACTATAACTAAAATTTGTAAAAGTTTAAAAGTAGTAGGTCATAGGCAAGATTGACAAATATAGCAAATAGGCACAGGGTAAAATAAAAAGCAGAGGATGTGTATCCAATATCGCTTCAGAGAGTTTGTCTATTATTGCTTGCCTGTCTTGTCATTTTAGATTGCAGGATCTTTAGGGCAGGGAGTGTGTTGTCCTCTTTGGTCCCAATCCTGCAACTAGTTATCTATGTTTAACTTCTGTGAATAGTTCTGTGGGAGTCCAAGGGAGTACGGTTAAGTATATGCATAATTGTTTGAAGAATCTCTGGGCTGCCAACTGGCCTGGGAGTCTGGAAGCCCTGGGGCAGTCCACATAAGGCTGCAATTCCAAGGCAATCTGCCTGGTGAGACTGGCCTCACAGATTCTGGAAGCCCTGGGTTCCTAGTAGCCTGCCAGGTGGTTGTCAAAAGTTCATCAAACCTGACATGTTTCCATGAAAAATGTTAGGTTTGATGAATTGGCATTTTCCTCACCAGCTCTGCTTACAGCACCACTCAGTGAAAAGACAGAGAGACATAGACACTTCTGCTTTTCAGAGTTCATTTTCTGAAGATTTCTTTCAAGTTCTGCTATGTTCTCTGACATTTCTTGTGGTTAATTACAGTAGGAAAGAACTCAAAGTGACTTAGCTAAAAGGAGGATTCCCTTCTGATTCGGAGCAAAGTATTTCTAGCTCAACCAGAAGTTGCAGGAATTAAGGTGAAATTATATGGCTGTGTCATGCAGTAGGTGAAATTAGATGATCCCTGTGGTTCCTTCTGGCCTTAAAAATCTATGCATCTATGATTTTGGAACAGGCGTGTAGGCATATCAGTGCAGTAGCACAGACAGGATACTCTCTAATCTTTGGTTTATACATTAAAATAAAAGGTTTATTTCTGAAGTACATTTTAGACAAAAATATATTTACTTTTAAAAAATATTTTAGTTTATTAATTTTAAAATCATATAAATGATCTTTAGTCTTTAAGGTGCCACCAGACTCCTCATTTTTGTGGATACAGACTAGCACGGCTACTCTTCTGATGAATGATCTGTTACAGTAAAATGAACATCTGATTAGGTTGTTAAAATGTGCTTAAATCTGAAAGTATTTTATTTATTTCAACCTTGTTGAGTTTATTCTGATGAAAGCGTCATTTCATTTTTTTGGTGAGGCCTCTGAGGGAATCAGTAATTCTACAATTTTATTTCCAGTATAACACAAATAATATAATTTGGGATCATCAGTGTGAAATATCAGGTAGAAAAATGAAGTGTTTAATAAAAAGTCAGTTCACTTTACAGTGAAAAGGATTTCTAACATAAAGGGAACAAAATATTTGGAATGGGGAGTTTCATATTTTTTGGACTACATTCCCAAAATTAAACGTACGTATTCGGTATCGTGTAGAGTGTGTGTGCTGAGAAATAGATGTTAGTGCCTTTGTGATCATTTAGTCTGACCTTCTCCATGCACAGGCCATAGAACCTCATCCAGTGATTTCTGCATCAAGCCCATAACTTCTGTTTGAGCTGCACTATATCTTTTAGAAAGATATCCAGTCTTGATATCCAATTACAAAAGTACTGGCAGTCCCACTGGAAAGAGGGTAAATGAATCACAAATGGATAGAAAATAATTATTTGCATTCTTTTAGCTTATTCCTTCCTCCCCTCCCCCCTCTCTGGATATATATTAAATTCTGTTACATATTGCACCTAATCAGAGTAATCATTTGATGACAGCAGCCATGTGCATATTTACGCAGTTTTTTCCCCCCACTGCAATTCCACCTCATTTCATGACTGTTAATAATACCATTGCCTGTTAGTGACACCTGCTGGAAGAAATAGACTCAGAATTTCAAGCTTATCAATAGAAGTTAAGAATAGTCTGAGGATAATTTTATCCCACTTCCTTCCTTCCTTCCTTCCTTCCTTAAGTATTGCAGTTTCAGAACTAAAGCAATTCAGTCCTGAAGTGCTCAATTTGTTGCGCTATGTATTTGATTTCCCAAACTTTGGATAAAGCCAGGAGAGTTGTACTCACACATCTCTATGTTTAAACACTAATGAGGGTGAGTTCTGCATGCACCAAGTCATTCTTGAAGGATGCGTGAAAGCAAAACTACCTTCCCTCTTTAAAACTTACTGTGTATTAAGGGGTTCAGAATGCTAGTAGACCCCCATTCCAGTTCCTCAGACTCGTAGTAATCGTGAATAGAAAGCACATAGCCATTTTCATTTCATCTGAAGTGAACTGAATCTCACTGATAAGATAAATAAGACAAAACTTTTTCCTTGAGGTTCAGAAAAGTTTGGCCAACTATTTTTATTACTTTTCATTTGCATAGTGCATTCCCTTGTTCTAAGCAGATGAGCCAGAATAACACAAGGCTGCTGTTGCAATATTTCCATCCATATAAGGTATGTCTACACAGCATCTGGGAACATGCTTCCCAGCACAGGTAGGCAGACACATGCTAGCTTTGCTTGACCTGATGTGCTAAAAATAGCAGTGTAGCTGGGGGTATCATAGGCAGTGACTTGGGCTAACTGCCCAAGTACATAGCCAGGGGGACCAGGAAGGTTTGTACTCAGGTGTCTAGCCTACTGCCTATGCTACCCCAGCTACACTTTTATTTTTACCATGGAAGCTTAAATAGAGTTAGCACACATCTGTCTACCCAGGCTGTCAAACACCCTCCCAGATGCAGTGTTGACATACTCTAACTGAAATGAGAATTCTCTTGAAAGCCTGTTTTCACAAGGTATTATCCTGATCTTTGATTGGTGACCCAACATTCTAGTGCAGTACAAATAATAAATAGTAATTTTTGATAACCAGTAGGCTTGAATAATTTAGATAAGTACTTAAGTGTTGTAGTACTTTTTAGTGCTGCCTTCTGCAATTTCTTTTGACACTACCCAGTCTAGTAAACAAAAGAGGAAAAGTTATTTGTCTGCTGGCTGTACTCAGTTGCTGTTCTGGTTTTAAAATCTAATGAGGAAAATATATTTTTGTAAATATTTGTTGTGAAATTTTAATTTTATTTATTTGTTTTTAGCAAAACATCTATACCAACTTTATGGGACTCATTAGAAGAACCTGACATAGTTGATACTAGTGAATTTGAATATTTATTTTCCAAAGATGCAGTTCAGGAAAAAAGAAAACGCTTATCAGAGTCTTATGAAAAGAAAACAAAGGCCAAAAAGGTATACGTTTTTTTCATAATTACATTCTCTTTATTGAGTGTGTTCATGTTTCTATGTTTTAAAAAAACAGTGATTTACATTCTGTTTGATAGAAACTGCCAACAAAACGTGAATAAATGAAAACAAGAATTGTTATTATGTTAGTGTATAATAGATGGATTTTCTGTTTTGTTTGTAAGTGAATTGTCAAACCACTGTGCACCATCTACACATTGCTGTTTTTATAAAGGACCACTTGCATTTCTTCATCCTAACATCTTTGTGCATATTTAAAATAAAAGTTCAAAAACAAAGTATTGAAAGAAGATGTAACTTTGGTGAAAATGTGAGGCATAAAAGAATGAGCATGCTTCACATCACAGAAATGTTTAAGAGTCCATACCAACAGTAATATTAAGACCCTTTTTGTTTTTACTGAAAAATTCCCAGGTTTTAGAAATGCTATTATTTGGTTCTTAGTGATTTACACGCAAATTTTCGACCACCTAGATACATAGAAATATTGATTGTTACAAAAAATCCAACACGTTACATTAGATATTAATTAGATGTTAATCATAATTTAGTCTAAGTGTAAATGTGAGGCTGTCTATTAAAATAAGGCAATGTAGTGGAAGATATACATACATACACTCTCTCTCTCCTGTGTGTGCATATGTGTGCATACTGTTAATGTACAGTTCATTAAATAAACCACAGCATTAAACTGCTTTTATTTTTAATACTTTTACTTTTCTCTATTTGTTGCTTTTTTCTGTCCTTCCATATCCCAATATTAACCCCAATATTTACCCAGAAAACTATAAAGTTAATTTTTTCACTGATTTTTCACCTTTTTTAAAATTTTTATTACAAACACTGACATGTTCCCAGGAAATTTTAAACAAAATAAAAACTGAAAATGAATGGCCTTGAGCATTGTGTATGTGTAGGTGTACACTTCAAATATATTTACAATTTAAAGCAAAATATTTTAAATCATTTCCTCTATTTATTTGCTATGCAGGGCTTGATGTTCTCTTTGAAAAAAGTTAATAACGCTACTTCATTTTGTTCTTTGTTTCATCCCCCTCTTCCGTTCTTTTCCCTTTGCTTGGTCTCATGTGCATGCTCCTCTGCCATTTTGGTTGCATTATCAGGACCAGTTTTAGGGGCAAGCAAGGAAGTGGTACCACTGTGGGACTTGGCCATTTTTTGTTTGGGTTTTTTCCCTCTCCACTGATTGGCTGCCTGTGAGGGTTGTTTCTTTCTTTATTCTGGGGGGGTGGGGGTTGTTTTGTTTTTGTTTTGCATCAACATACCAAAAACATTTTCCAGCCTGGCAGGCAAAATGCCTAGGGCTGGCCGCACCCATTATCCTCCACACACTTCTTGCCTGGTCCCCTGAACATTCCTCTTCTACTAGTTACTTTGGCTCCTCTCCTGATGGTAGTTCTTGCTGTTGGCTGGCAGCTCCAATCCCACTGATTGCTGCAGTCCCTGAGTTCCTGTTTCCTTTCCTACTGTTATATAGCAGTAGCCATTAGTGAGGGCACCTAGGATGGCTCTGCCTCATTTTCGGTTACTTTGGTTGCCCAGCCTTTTCTCTGCAAGTAGGAGCCAGCAATAAGGGATCTGCTATTTCCCTATGGGCAACCAGTAGCATCTCTGCAGACAACCAGTGGTCTATGGGCCACAATTAGCGAACAGTGTGTGTAGAGTCAAGCCTTCTTGATTCTGGGCCATGAGGGTGTAGGTTTAACTCTCATATTAGAAGCCAGGCCCTATACCAGGGGTTGGCAACCTATGGCATGCGTGCCAAAGACGGCACGGGAGCCGATTTTTAATGGCATGCTGCGGCAGCCACTTGCCCCGCTCAGCCCATTGCCAAACCCCGGCAGCGGGCTGAGTGGGGCCGACGGCCAGGACCCTGGCAGGCAGCAGCGTGCCATTAAAAATCCTGCCCGGCACAGCTCGCTCTTCTCCGCCCCCCGCCTACCGCTCTCTCTGGCGGGGGAAGGGCGCAGAAGCAAGCTTGGTTCTGCTGGCTGCTGCTGTAGGGCAAGTTCCGCTGGCAGCCAAGCTTCCCCCTCCCCCGCCCCTTCCCCCATTGTGCTGCGTCATGCCCCACCTCCTCTCCCTCCCTGCCGCCGATGGCCCTTGCGAGGGAGGGGAGAAGAGGAGCCCCAGTGCCCTCGCTGCTCAGACCGGGAAGGAGGTGGAGAAGAGGCAGGACCGGGGCCTTGGGGAAGGGGGGTGGAATCAGGGCGTATTCCTCCAGCCCCCTGCTGTGAGCCGCTCAGGGCAGGGGGTTAGGAGCACCCCCCCCAATCCCATCCCACCCCCCAGCTCTCTACCCTGACCCCAGCACCCCCTGCACCCCCCCATGACCCAGCCCTGACTCTGGCACCCTCCACACATACCCAGCCCCCCCACACCCCATGCCCTGATTCCTGAACCCCCTCCCATGCCCCCAGCCCTCTGCCCTGACTCCTGCACCCTCCTCACACACACCCTGCCCTGACTCCTGCACTCCCCCACACATCCCCATCCCCCTCCCCATCCCCACCCCCCACCCTGAGCACCAAATGGGAGCTCCTGCACCCCCCCCACACACACATTCCCACCTGCATCCCTTGCACCATATGGGAGCTGCCCAGGTAAGCGCTCCACACCCAAACCTCCTGCCCCAACCCTGAGCCCCCTCCCTCATTCTAGCTCCTGGCCAGACCCTACACTCTAACCCCCAGCCTGCTCCTTCACCCCTAGCCCTGTGCTCAGTGAACCCCCACCCTCAGCTCAGTGCAGAGAGAGAGGAAAAGAATGGGCCAGAACCAGGGAGAAGGTAGGTACCCACCCTACGTGGGCAGGGCCGGGACCCCAGACTGGCAGCAGGCTGAGCGGGGCCGGCAGCCGAGACCCTGGCTGGTAGGAGCCAGCGGACGGAACCCCAGACCGGCAGCAGGCTGAGCCACTCAGCCTGCTGCTGGTCTGGGGTGCCGGCCCCGCTCAGCCCGCTGCCGGTCTGGGGTTCTGGCTGCCGGCCCCTTGCCAGCCGTGGTCCCAGCTGCAGGCCCCGCTCAGCCCACTGCCGGCCTAGGTGAACGGAACCCCAGGCCGGCAGTGGGCTGAACAGGCTGGCGGCATAAGATCAGCATTTAAATTTAATTTTAAATGAAGCTTCTTAAACATTTTGAAAACCTTGTTTATTTTACACATAACAGTAGTTTAGTTATATAATATATAGACTTATAGAGACAGACCTTCTAAAAAACGTTAAAATGTATTACCGGCACGCGAAACCTTAAATTAAAGTGAATAAATGTAGACTCGGCACACCGCTTCTGAAAGGTTGCCGGCCCCTGCTCTATACAGTCTATTTTGCTCTTGATTAGAGTATACATAGACATACAAATTATAAGTAATTGTGTTTTAAAGCAAAATAGCTGAATAGGTATTTGCCTTTTCATCCTTAGCTAGCTATCCAAATTCAGGTTTATGTTTAATCTTGGAAGATTTAATGTCATCGCAAGCATAAGGTCTGCAGCCATGTGAGCTGTTCAAGGGATCTTACAAAAGAATGATAAAAAATCCATGCCGCTTGTATTTATCCTAAAAGGCCCAGTACAGTTAAAGTGACAGTGCCACTAGACATTTTCAGATATATTCACAGTTGCCATATTATCTTATTTGTTACTCACACTTTAAAAAGTGGACACAGAAATATGATTTTAAAGTAAAATTAGGAGCCTGACAAAGAAGAAAGAGTGTTAGTCCATGAAGTGATTGACATTGTTTTGTTACTGCAGAAGTCTCATAACAATACATTATTATATATTATATGACATAAGCTCAGTTGAGTTTCCCTGATTTGAGCCACAAGAGGGCACCTTGGATATAATCTTTGCCTTTATCATACATAATTAGAAAAACAAAGAAGTTTTACAACCTCCAGATATTTAAAACATTTTGATCAGAAATTATTTGTCTTAACACAGTAATTAATCTAAGTATAAATAGCACTTAACAATTATAAAACTCCAAATAATGTGTTAATAGAGAGGAAGATTGGTTTTGTGATCTATATAAATGCATTTTAAGGATATTAAACTATTTGGGTTTTTTACATGTTTACTATTATTATTTAACCTGGACACACCTGTTCATATAAGAAAAATTCTTCCTATCATATTTTACTTTATAAATCTTTAGAGTATGAATGGTGTTCAGTACTCAGTTTTAGAAGTAAATCCAATTAGTACAGTAATGCAAATTCCTGATACCCACTTTCTAAATTTGCTTTTGAATAGTCAAAGATTGAAAGGAGAGATTTATTCTACATTTCACTGAATTTGATCCATAAGAAAACATTTTACCATCTAGTTGGAAAATATAGACTTTAAAAGTCTCTTGAACATAATGCTATGAACATAGGCTTTTATGAAGAAATTAGATAATTTTTTACATTTATTTGTATTTCCTACTCCAACTCATACATGTAACATCCCTAAATTTCAGGTATGCTGGCCCAAAATACGGAGAGCATTAGTCTTCTGTTCTGAAGAGCAAATACATATTCCTGTTCACTTCCTCACCTACCCCTTTTGGTAAAACAAAAACTGAATCCTAATTTGTTATGCCTAATACAGTAGTTCTTTGCTGTATTTTTTTCTTTACTCTTTGTCCAGAACTTAATTTCTAGTAGGATTACATACATACAGTATAGGTGGCAAATAATATGATGCCCACCTTTTGTGGGAAACCTTATCTATTTTTTCACACACTATATGGTCCCTTGTTTATCTGGATGTATGAATGATTCTTCATTTGCATTTCAATGCAGATCAACTTCAACATTTATTTTTAGAAATATGGAATAGGGTTTACTGAGATTACTGAAACAAGTAGAGTGTAAAAATATAGATAAACAGACATGAAAAACTAGGGTGAAAATATGAAAAAAAAACTCACTTGAGGAAGCAGATAAGAGATGAACTTTGGAAGTCACCCACCAGAATAAA